ACAAAATAGTGAGTCTCTCAAGACTGTAACTGAACAACTAAGAAGTACATCTGAATGCATATTAACGTTCAAATATTAACTGACAACTAAAAGCTTTTTTTGGCTTTTTATAAATTATGCCTAAGCTAATTAATTTTTGGGAAAGGGATGTGTACTTTAGTTCGAAATATTTGTTTCCATGAGAAAACGTGATTATCACGAAAAAACGTCATTTAAGAACAATGGTCTTTCAAACACTCATACGTATTCGAAGCGATAAAAATTAATAATGTCTCTCGACATAGTATTAAAAATACAGACCAGTAATAGAACAATTTAGCATACTACAATATACGTAAATGCAATAGACGTAATCACAAATCTTAATGACTATACACTACGACCTATGTATCTAAATGTCAAAAAATAATCTTGTCTTTGGGTCTAATTGACCATATCGTCATTCAATTTAAGTTGTCCGTCTTTGGTTCAAGGTCCATTTACCTCACGGATCAAAGGGTTGCGGTTTCCCGATTAAATGTATGGCCAGTGCAAATCTGTCTGAAAATATGTCTGATATGAGAATGTCTGAGACCAAAATTTAAGTTTGTACATATCCTTGGTCAATACTACCTTATTGCGCGTTCCAAAATTTAATTTTTTTTTAGAATCATCTTCGAAAAAAGTCTTAATAATTCATTGAAATATTAGATTAAAAAATATATAAATACAATACGAAATTTTATATGTTTAATTATTATATAAATTATATTTATATAATAATTAAATTATATAAATGTTATAAATTTAATTAATTTATTATCTAATTTGTTGACATTCAGAATATGATTCTCAGCGTTTAAAATGCAATAAGAGGCAATCAAAACGCGTAACGTTTTAAAAACGCTAGCGTGTAAATACATTTCATTTAAAACTTTTTACTGGACGATGGTTAGGTGCTCGAGATCAAAAAGATATGGCCAGTAGCTGACCAATATCTACCCAATATCTATTTGATCGGACTCAATAAATATAATGGGCCAAAAAAATTAGCAGCTACAAGCCTTTTTCGTGATACTCTTTGATGGATCAGTAAATAATCCTCGCAATAGAGCAGTGATTAATCCTCTAAGCCCATTGCTATCAGATATTTTTATGAGCCATCTAGAAACAAAGATTTCAAAACATTTTTTTACCCCGTTTTGATCGCAAATCTTAAGACTCATAAATTGCCTGAGAAAGGACACCTTTCTCGCGCGTGATCGCGATTTTGCCATTATCGAGAAAGCAAAAAAGTATACCAAAAGACCTCAATGAAATTATTGCTAATGCTGGAAAGAAAAATCTGTTTTCAGTAGTGAATACTTCATTTTTTGACTAGATAAATCTAGCTAAATCTTGGACAAACACTAATAATTGCGCAGATATTTTTGGCTTCTATGATTCGAGTAACATCTGAAAACTTTGGTGAATTTGATATAAAGAAAAGTTACGGAGATTTTGCTCCATGGATAAAACTTCAGTAAGCAAACCTAGAATTACTAAGGCGGTTTTGAGAAGTTAGAAATCAAGATGAAGAAAACCCCTATGCCATTGTCGACCGAAAAAAATAAAGATATCCAAGCCATGCTACCATATTTAGCAGGAGAAGCAAAAGCTTTTTATGAAAACCTTACAAAATGATGTGCTTTCAATTTTGATTTAGAATGACTTAAGTAAATAAAAACATATTAGTTTTATTTTCACTATAATTGTTAATTTGATCTTTTCCTTTGGACATTAAGTGCAAGAAAATACGCACTTACAACATTATGACTTGCATAAATAATTGCACTTTTGTTATAACGTTTTGTTCTCTTAGTTTTTGTAAATTAATTAAAGAATAAATTATTTTATTTCACTAGACTTTGTATGTTAATAGCGTTAATTGAACCAAAGTTTAATAATAAAAATCATGGGAATTATTTTGTTCACTATTTTTTAACTAAAATAGTTTTTTGGCTCTACTGAAAACTTTTATTTTAGACAATAACAACGTTATGGTTTGGCTCTACTCAATTATGCTTATTATTTTTACAATTACTTTGTTTACTGAAAAACATTACAAATATATTTTAAACAAATTAAAAATTGTAAAATTTAGTATGTAAATTGTATTCTGTACAATATATACACAAATTAATTATATATTTTTTATTTATAAGTATACAAAGTTTATAATAATTAATTTGTCTAAAATAAGCATAATAATTCAAAATTTAAAATTAATACGTATAAATTTGATTTTCAAACAAACACTTAATTTTCGGTAAAATTTTTTAGAAAATTAATTATTAGAAGAGATCATTTATAACTATAATACATAAATATTTAAGATGCTTAATATTTTATAACCTTTTTAACTAATAATAATAATTATTATTATTATTATAAGAGAAATCTAAAATATTGCAAAGCATTCAAATTGTTTAAACAAATTATTCTGTTATATAAACAATTTATAAATTACCTAAATGCATGTTTTCGATCTATACCAAAATTTTAAAAATTACTTTTGGAAGAACAAGAGAGTTTGTAAATTATGATTATTGTATAAATAATATACCTTTAGAGGCACGTCATAATATTAAAGATTTAGGTATAAATTTTTATTCTAAACTAACTTTTAAATATCACATTAACGAAACTTCAGCTAAAGCTTTAAAAATGTTAGGATTTATTCTTAGAAACTGTAATCAGTTTTCAGTACTAACTTTAAAAATGTTATACTGTAGTTTAGTTCGATCAGTTTTGGAGTATGGTTCTCTTATTTGGTCTCCTTCATATAACAGTGACATCTACAGTATCGAGAGAGTTCAAAATAAATTCTTGAGGGTATGTGCTTACAAAATTAGTTTTATTAGACATCAATACACATATGATGATATACTGTCAATACTAAATATCTCATCACTACATGATAGAAGATGTCAAGCGGATTTATGTTTCCTTTTTAAAATTATAAATGGATGTGTTCAAGATCCAGAGTTACTAAGTTTAATAAATTTTAATGTTAATACTAGAAGAACTCGTAACATTGAGATTTTCAACATTCCATTCCACACTACGAATTATGGCCAAAATGAACCCATTACAAGAATTTTACGGACTGCCAATGAGCACAGCAATAGTTTAGAGTTATTTGGAATATCTACAGCAACATTTAAGAAATCATTTGAGAGATTTTGAGCATTATTTAATAACTTAAGCTACTACTTTAATTGAATTTTGTTTGATTTTAATTTTGGTTTGTTTTTTATTAACACAACCTACATATAAGCTTTGTAAAGGTTGACGTCATATTTCTGTAAAAATGGGATATCCGTTAATTAAATAAAATAAATAAATAAAATAAATAAAATTACTTAAACAATATATTTCTCTGAGTTATATATTCATCATTTAAATTCAGATCAAGTCTGGATACAACTGGTATCATGTATAAATCTACAATTCTAAAAAGATCATACTAAAAAAACTGGTGATTTTAGTTAAATTTGTGTAATGTTTTAAGTAAAGATTGGAGTCAATCTATTTTAATTTGTTTGATACCATGGAATAGTTCAATAAAACATTAATGTTTAAAAAATCCACAAGAAAAATAAATTCCTGCAGCTGACTGTATACCATGTATCACAAAAAGAGGTTTAATCTTTGTAAGTAGGTATATTTAAAAAACCCTTAAAAGTGTTCATTAAATTAACAAATGTTTTCGGAATAATAATTCCATCATCAGGTTAAAAATGCCTAAAATAAGTATAAACCATTTAATTAAAGCAAACATGATTGAAATGTTGACTAAGGTTAAAAAAGCAAAATGATTATACTTACAGGTTAACATGCCGGACCCACCATTAATGTTTAGATTGTTATTCTTGGAGTAATTGGCTTTGTGTATTATCCACAGCAAATTTTTTTAATGATACATTTAATAGCAAAAACATTTTGCCAGTAGCCAGCATAGGTTAACATTTAGATACTATATTTTCCTTGTCAATTTTATTTAATTTTCATTTTTAAAATAATTTTTTCAGTTTTTCCAAAATCTTAACAAAAAGTATAATTTTTTCTAAAGTATTCTTAGGAAAAAAAGTCCCAAGACTAACTAACAAAACGTCATTTTTTTTTTATTAGACCCGGAGATATTGCGACTTTTGAAATTCCATCGCCAAGAAAAAAGATCTATTATACTTATGCAATGTTGGAGTTATACCCAAAGACTACGAAGGCGCGATAGATTCCCTACCCACCAAAGTCAATTTGCAAGACAGAGTGCCAATAAAAAGAGATTCTGAAAATAAAATATACTGTTGACGTTCTCTATTGAGTTAACATAAATAAATACATTTATACTCTCATATTTCTTTATTTTTATTTACATAAAACGTCCAATTATTCAATCAAAATCATGATGTACATTTATTTCCATACTTTTATTGTCAACTATTGTATGTCCATGCCTTTTTTTAAGTATTCTTCTTTAGTTTTTTTGTGAGGTAGGGTATTTATTTTTATTGCCCATTTCGATGTCCATTTAATGTCGTATCATAAAAAAAAATATGCAAAGTTTAATGTTGAACACTACAAGAGATTAAACATTCAAAATCGATTTACTCAAAAAATACATTCATGGACTTACAATAAGTGTGCTTTAAGCCATCGATATTCATTTGAACTAATATTTAGTTTACTTTCAATAATAGTTTAAAAACCGTAATATTATAATATTGTATATTCTGTATTACCATTCAGTTATTGCTAAAAATACTAGTTTTTATTGTATTTATTAAATCACTTTGTCGGGTATCCGTTGAATTGAAACGGTTAGGTATCTGTTCTGTGCTGAACTTTTTCAAAAAACTGTACTTAAATCCTTTTATTTGTGTAATTCTCCTTCTTGTGCGCTACTGAGTTCTCCGCCCATCAAAACATTCAGCGCATGGAGCTAAATATAAACTGATTGACATTAGAACATAGTAAGCGAAAAAGAGAGAGGAGACGCGGAGGTCGAGCCACTACCGGTAGATTCATATCGTAAAAACACTAGTGCACGAAACACCTCAAGTGATCAACACGTGTTATGTAGAGTAGTTTCGAAAGTGCAAGCAACAACAACGAGATGGAACACCACCCTCAACAATCAACCGAGTCATCGGGAGCTCAGCACCAACCCTTGAATAATCCACCTGCGACAGGTAGCAGCAATGCACATCATACACCGGCTCAAACGCAGAAAGCGAGAATTGCTAAAATCAAGCAGAAAATTCTGCGTAAGTAACTTTGTTTTTTTTTATTTGTTATGATTTTGTTACAATCTGGCGAACGATAGCGTGCTGGATTTATCACATTGAATAATATGTAGTACGGACTCGCTGGCGCCGTGATAATAAGTAAGGTAATACATCTAAAAATAACGTAACCTGCATTGTTAGAATTATCGTTCTCAAAATAGAATGTACTAAATTTTAAAAAATAGATGTCATTAAACTGGCATCCATTTTTATGCTAATTTGAGTGCGCTAAATTAACTATTCATTTAAAAAAAGTGTATATATTTTGTTGTAGCTAAAAATGTTTGTGATCTCATAAAATTGGAGGGACATGAAAAAGATTATACTTTTGATCCCAGCAGAACTTTTGTATTTATACAATTAAATTATATTTTTTATTCAAAGTAATTTAAAGAATATGAAAATAAAATAAACTATATATATATATATATATATATATATATATATATATATATATATATATATATATATATATAAAGTAAACTTTAAATATTGGGTATGCAGCAATAAAAATGAAAGGTGTACTCTTTTAAATTTTTATTCCAAGCTTTCGGACATTGGTTATGTCCTTCATCAGGACATTCGATAAATTCGATACTTACAAACTTAATGAGGTTGTATCATAAATGATTTTATAAAAAATGTTGATAAAATTTATCACAGTCTGTTATATCTGTTGCGGCGTTATATCTGTTCTATGAGTTAAGCGGCTGTGATACTGCGATGGGGAAGGCAACGGGAAACCACCCCATTATGATCCCTAGTAAAGTTATCATGGAATCAATGAGTGTAACAAATACTACTGATCATGGGCTGCGGAACTCAAGATCCGGCAGGGGAAGGAATACACAATCAAACCACAGGGCTTCCCAGGTCGCTAGCCAGCGAAATCTCTGTGAGGAAAACATCACCAGACATACGATGAAAATGAAGAATCCATTAAGTTTGTAAGTATCGAATTTTTAATTAATTATACAAATTTGTAAAAATTATTCATCACATTTGTAGCTCCCTGATGAAGGACATAACCAATGTCCGAAAGCTTGGAATAAAAATTTAAAAGAGTACACCTTTCATTTTTATTGCTGCATACCCAATATTTAAAGTTTACTTCCTCACGTGGTCAGCACTAACACGCAAGTACTCCAAACTTTAGACAAAAGATGCGAAATTCTAAATGAGATAAAAACTAGAAAGATGGAATACTTGGGGCACATTGTGAGAGGTGAAAAGTACGAACTTTTAAGAAACATCATGCAGGGCAAAATTAAGGGTAAAAGAAGTATGGGAAGAAGAAAAATATCGTGGCTTCGTAATCTACGTGAATAGTTCGGGTGTAGTTCGATTGAACTTTTTAGGCGCGCTGCTAACATTGTCGCAGTGGCCATGATGATTTCCAATCTTCGCTAGGAGTGGCACGAGAAGAAGAAGATATATATAAATATATTCGGCCCTGTCACTTCTAGGCAGGAGTATAAGCACCCCATTATTATGAGCTCTTCTGTTCCGTGTTTCACTAGCAATCACTCCGAATTTCTTTCTTTCATTGTTTTCTGTCGTCTTTATTCACGGGTTGTTATGTGATTTCGCCTGATTAGTGATTTAGCTCCATTCCTTTCTATTTTTGATCTCCAATTAGTCTTTATTTTGTTGATATCTTCTCTAAGCTGATTTTCGCATCTGCAATTTGGTCTCATTCTAGGTCTTGTATTTGTAGGTTTCCATTTTAATATGTTATTTATTAATTTATCTCTTAGTATATGATTGAGCTATTTCAACCTTTGAGCCTTTATAGGTCTGAGTCAGGCAAAAAGTGCATTCTTGACTATGAGCTCTGTGTTCAAGAACCAACATCTCACCCTAGAAATAAAAATAAGAATCCTTAAATGTTACGTGTACTTAGAGCTTCTGTACGGAGTATAAACGTGAACATTGAAGACTGAATCTCTATCAAAACTTTAGGCTTTTAAGATATGGTTATAGAGAAGGATCCTGAAGATACCATGGACATACAAAGTCACCAATGAAGAAGTACTGCGGAGGATGAATACAACCGCGGATTTGGTCAACATCGTGAAGGGCCGTAAGCTGCAGTATTTGGGACATATCATGAGAAATCAAGGCAAATACGAGCTACTGCAATGTATTTTGCAAAGTAAAATTGAAGGAAAAGGCCCCCAGGACGAAGAAGAATATCCTTGCTTGCTAACCTGAGAGCATGGTATGGAAAGACTTCAACACAGCTATTTCGTATAGCAAGCAACAAAGTCATTAAAGCCATAATGATCGCCAACGTTCGGAACGGACAGAAGCCTTAAGAAGAAGGTCTGAGTAGGTCTTCTTCTTAAGGTTCCGTGCATTTCTGCATAGGCGTCCACCGTACATCGTCTTGTCAGGTGAGATGTTAAATATTCTGGATTAAATAATTCTGTTTTTGAGTAGGTTTCTGAGTAGGTATTTCCCATTTATTTGGTTATTTTTTTCGTTGTTAGATAGTCGTCTCCGTCTTGGATTTTTTTTTTATCCAAGAATTCTTTATATCTAACTTTCTATTATACGTAGCTTCTATTTGATGCGTCGGCGAATGACGTAGCTAGGAGGCTATTCAGGGGGTCCGATGGTATCAAATATTGAGTTCAAGAAAATCCTTTATAAAAAGTATGTTAATTTAGAAAAACCTATCGGGTTACATCACAGAACGATTTTGAAATAACTATTCTATCATCAGTGATATATGAATTTACATGTTTGAAGCCACTAAATACATGGGTAAAAAGTGGCTGTATCTGTATCGTTCAATATAAGTTTTATATCCATTGCAGGAATATCCTTACTTAAATAGAACGAATAAACTTTTCTCTGAAGAACGTTTCTATGAAAGTCATGAATTTCTTAGTTGTTTTACTTCATGTGTTTTTGACTTAGTAATGTTTCCTTGTTTTCTTTCACTTAAACATCTGTAAATGGTAAACACCTGTCATACCGTAACACATAGTCACCAGATTATTAAACGTTATTTTGGGTTGTGAACATCATAAACAATGAAGTCATGAACATTTAACACAATAGTTTTTTCTTTCAGAGAATACGTAACATTTTTATGTTAAGCAGCAAAAAATTGAAACGATGATGCTATTTAAACTGCTAACTGAAAACATGGACGGTATCAAATTCGTCACAACTTTCCCTCACTCGGTGGGCAGGTAGACCAGTAGATCATATTCTTCCAAAGTCATTAATAAAGGATTATCCTCTTATCAGACGAAATGTTCTATATATATTCAGGGATTCTACAGTATTCACTGCCTTCCCTCGCTCAACCGTTTCTATATCTCTCTATTCTTCAGACCTCTCTTACTCATGGCGTCGTCTACTTCGTTCCTCCAGGATCTTCGGGGTCGTCCTCTTTTCCTCCTTCCTATAAGGCTCCATTCGGTTTCATCTGCTGTCGCTAGTTCTTCTTACATGCCCATACCACTTAAGTCTTTTTTGTTTATATATGTTAGTATGTCTGTTTCTATTGATGTTCTTTGCTTTATTTCGTCATTACTTCTCCTCTCACTTCTTGTTACTCTGCAGCATCTTCGCGGGCATTCCATCTCTGTTGCTAGTATCTTACTGCTGTTTTTCTTGTGTATAATCCAATTTTCAGCCACATATGTCATAATACTTCGCACTAATGTTTTATAAATCTGTGTTTTTGTCTTCATATTTAGGTGTCTATCTCACCATACTGAGTTAAGTTGTCGGATTGCTGTTCTTGTTTGTCCTAATCTTTGCTTAATTTCTTCCTCTGTTGTTGCCTTTTTCGTGATTATAAACCCCAAGTATTTGAATTGATCCTTTCCTTTAATTGTTACGTTGTCGTCAATCTGTAGATCTTGTAATCTTCTTCTCCATGTATTCTTTTGTAAATAGGTACTCTGCTTTCGCCAGGTTAATTGATATATTCTTCTTGTAGTTTCGTCATCATGTAACTGAGGTTTTCTTGGTCTTATGCAGTCACTACTTGATCGTCTGCAGAGCATAGTGTATATAAGTAATCGTTTCGTACCGGTACTCCCATGCCTTCGCATTTTCTTTTTCATGTAGTCAAGGCTTTCTCTAAGTATATTTTAAATAGGGTTAGAGATGTGGAAAAACCCTGCAGGAGCCATTTTGTTGCGGATAAGTCTCCTATGATTCTTGTTCCCATTTTAATGAACACTTTATTTTTTTTTTATACAGAGCTTTTGTAGCTTCTATCAGTTCCGCATATACAAAGTATTCTATGAATGTAATAGTAGAGAAATTCCCTATAAATCCAAAAATAGTACCACCATTAACTACAAGTAACCCTTAACCTTTGTTTTAAGATTTGCATTTGTAATAACCTGCCAGTTGCAGACAGATAGACTTTAGTATTGGATCAGCTAACCGAGGAACTGTAGGGTAACATTTCCTAGTGTATAATGTATGCCGATGATCTAATGCTAGTAGGAAATATTAAAAGGGCTTTTAGAATAAAAAATGGAACATTGAAGACAAGAAAAACGGTTTAAAACTAAAATTACAAAAGAAATATAGTATTTGAAATGTTAATTTGAATATGGAGTTACCACTACAAAAAAATGATAACTTTGAACGATAAATTGATTCAAAAAAGTAATAATTCTAAGTAAAAAGGGTTGTTGCTACAAAGTAATGGGAAAATAGATGAAGATGCATGCAGTAGAGTTAGGGCAGGATGGATGAAGTGGAAGAAATCGAGTAGTGTGTTGTATGACAGAAAAGTTACAATGAAATTGAAAGGAAAATTCTATTAGACTGTCATATACAGACCCAAATGTTGGGCAGTCAAAAAGAAATAGGAACAACAAATGCATTTGACAGAAATGATAATGCTTGGATTGATGAGCAGAGAGAGGAAGTCTATGATTTGCACCAATTGATTCCAAAAGGAGAGAGCAAGGTGTAGATAGTTCGGGCATGTTCAATGT